GCTGGGGAGTAAAGGATGATGGACTTGATGTAAATGGGATTGAAAAGCTGGTATCTCTGATCGGAATGAGGCTCCTGTGCCTAATTTGGATTCACTGTGTAGTGTGCATGAGCGTGTCCATAAATGTGAAATGCTTTCTTGCTCCATGTATGAGCAGCACGTTATAGTTTAGGGTGCGTACCAGAGGTTGGACTCTAAATATGCTCTAAAAAAATCCTTTAGAAGTCCCTGGCACCGTGGTGGTAGATGGAAGCACAAAAGAATCATAGAATCATAGAATCATAGAATGCTTAGGGTTGGAAGGGACCTCTAGAGATCATCTAGTCCAACCCCCCTGCACACTCAGGGTCACCTAGAGCACGTGGCACAGGACTGCGTCCAAGCGGGTTTGGAAGATCTCCAGAGAAGGAGACTCCACAACCTCTCTGGGCAGCCTGTTCCAGTGAAGATAAGCACACCAGCCCACAGCTGCTGTTACCAGTTGTATTGTGCAGCTGGGGTGCCCACGGTGGAAGTGTAATTGCCCTTGGCTCCCGCTTCGGGCAGTGGAAAGAGCTGGGCTCCATCACAGACTTGTCTCTTAAGAGGAGCACCAGCCAGCGAGCCTGCGATCAGAGGACCTCTCTTAGGAGCCTGATTTTGCCCCAAACACACTGCCAGTGCCCTGGTCGCCCACGTGCTGTCTATACTGCCGCAGCAAGGCTGGAGGAGGGGGCAGCACGGGGGCCGTTATCTGCGGCAGGGAACACCCAAGTGCAGCTCCCAGGGAAAGGCTGCTCTGACGGGAGCAGGGAAGCGGCGTCTCGGTGCGGCTGGGCCGCGCGGAGCATCCTCACGGCTTCCCAACGTCCTTCCACCGTGTGAGGTAGGCACACAGCAGGGCGTGCGGAGAAGCACAGCACCCCGCAGCCCGGCGCTTGTCAGATGCTGTTAAACTCAGGGAAAGGGAATGGAGGCGCTGGCGAATCTGTCACGTCCTGCTTGTTCAAAAGATCGTTGATGCTGCATAACTCATCGCAGTGTGACCTGCCGGTGGGTTCTGCTGCCCAAGGTGCTCAGGAACCGCCTCTGGCAGAACTGCCTGTAAGTGGGTGGTGCTTGTTTAGGAAAACAGTGACTCTTGTTGTGCCTGCCCATGAGCCTTCCAGTCCCATTGCCAAAAGGGGCCACTCTTGCATTAGAGTCACAAAAAATATGAATTGCTGTTCAATGAGACAATGCGTTTCAGCACTTGTTTGTGTTTTGTAATGGGCTTGGAATAGGGAAATATCAAAATTCTCTATGCAACAGAGATCTTTATAAGTCTCATTTAGGAAATAGTCTAGTGTTTTGTTCTGACATTATTTATATAATCAAAATTTTTCTGCATTCCCACAGTTGAAGTATTTTTATTTGTTAACAATAAACAAAATATCTTGGAATGACCTGTAATGATCTCTTTTGAATTATTTTATTATTTCCTGATAACAATGTAGTGTCTGATGGGAGCTGTAATTCATCTCATTCTGATCCTCTCCCTTTCTGGTTTACCTCCCCCATAGAGTATCGCACTATTTGGTCAGAACGAAATCTGAAATCTTAACTGCCACACGTAGCAATAAGGGAATCTAGCGTGTGGAACTGCAGAGAAATTCAGGCTTTTGTTGCCCTCGGACAGCGTGCTGCAACACGGAGCTGTAAGTTGGTGTTGCAGTGTTCGCATTGCAGGGTTGCAGATCAGCTCAAAAGTGATTTATGTCAAATATTTGCTGTGCCTGCTCCGGCACGAGGACCCCTGCATTCCCGAGCAGCTCCCACAGGAGTGGTGTTACCCTGGTACCAGCACAGCCCTTCCAGAGGAGGGAGCGCAGAACTCCTTGCTCTCACGTTGTGCTGGTGTCACCAAACCACCACTGCTGTCACAGCCACCCCACGGGCACCTCCTGTCAGGGTGGCCTGGCCAGCCCTGAGTGCAGAGCTTTCCCCTGCTCAGGAAGCTAAAAAAGAGCGTGGCTAAATATTGCCTCAGCAGCAAAATGACACGTGAAGAATGATCCAAGGCTTAACCATAAAATAGGCAAGTCGCTCCAGCTCCCAGCCTTGGGACATGAAGTGCCACAGCCTCTCAGGGTTGGGGCTGCCTGGTCTGCCAGGGGGCTGTGCTTCAGCCCCGCCGGGTTGGCAGTGCTAGCTAGCAGATGAGTAAAAAAATAAAAATTATAAAATGCTCTCAATCTTGGTGGTATTTACCTCGTAGAAATGTTAGTGCTTTGCCAACTCGGAAGGAACTAATTCCCTTCAGTCGTAGGAAAAAAAAAATCTGTAATAGCTGTGAGAACTGTAGAGCTTATTTTCAAATAGGTGCCTCAGCATTTTGATATTTTCTGTGGGATTAACTAGTAACACAGGAAGGCTAATACATATGCAGAGCTTTCATTCGCTTCTGTGACAATTTGCCAGAGGGCAAATTGGGCTGTGTCATGAGAAATGGTGCCATTTCCACCACCTCCACCCTGTGAGCTGAAGCAAAAGACTTGTTAGTAAAATAGAAACAGTTTGCAGCTTATTATCAGCTCCAGCAAAGCTTCTCTCAGCTTCTTGTCTCGTATTTCCGCTTTTCTTGTATTTCTACTTTCTGCTTTTGGTTTCTAAGTGAAAAGGGCTGCCATTTCCTCAGCACAGAAGCCACAAAATGAGAGGTGCAAAAGTGGCACTCATTTACAGTGGAAGGCTCTTTGCTCACATCAAGTAGGTACCAAAGCTCTTTTCTCTACTGATCCGTTACACTTTTCCCCCTTCCGCGTGCTCACTTCCAGTTCACGAAAGGGCGGATTTCTCTGCCTCTGTGTGACATCTTGCTTCCTAAGGCTGGTTTTGTGCAGAGCCTTGGTGGCCTTCGGGGGCTGCTGTGGTGCCGGTGCTGCTGGATGCAGCCGGTGATGGCTGCAGAATATTAATGCTGCTGGCTCCCCAGCACTCCCCTCTGAAAGATGCCTTAGACCACTGAGCTCCATGCTGAGCGAGAGGAGGGCAGCATGGCTTTCATGCGCGGGGATTTCTGTTTTTAAGTGCAAACCCAGGGCCAATGGCTCTTTGCTTCACATTGTTGGGCTTCTTTCAAAGCTGCAGGCATTTCTTCACATAAATATCGAGCGGGCTGCTTGCTGCAGGCTTTGACAGCATCCGTGTGACAAAAGAAAATGCGGGAGAAGAGCTGAACATCTTCAGCACCAGCTTCAGAAAACAACTGACTATGGTCATTGTTTTCTTTCTAGTTCTAGTAGATCGCTCTCCCTGCAATTTGTTTTCCTTCCTGTCGTGCTGCCCCATGCACAGGGCCCTGGGACACCTACTGCACACACATCCCTGTGCTTCTTACACACTGTAACTATCTGCAGGGGATAGCTCTCAAAATTACACACCAGTGACAAGGGTTGCAGCAGAGCCCCTGTGATACAATGACGGAGATCTTTTTGCCTCAAGTTTTGTATTTTTTTCCATTAACCATGTGGCAGTCCCTCCCCATCACCCATTTCATACAGAAATACCAGAACTTTGCTCTAGCTGTATTGATTATTTGCCTTTTTTCTTTTTTTTTTCTAAATTTACTTCAGACAAAGTGCCTGCTTGCTGTTTGCTCTGCATACCCTGTATTTCAGGAGCTCCTCAATGGAGGCTGCTGGTGTGTTCCCGTAGCAGGAAAGCCGCACACCTGCATTCAGCTGCTCTCCAGGGCTTGCAGCTCTTCTGCATTCAAGGCAACTAAAATGCACTGCTTGCCCAATACAGCGTCTCCATTAAAGCAAGTGCTGGAGTATCACAGGAATGTGGCTCTGATGCCAGGGAGAGGAGAGACAAGTCCCCACGGCTGCCAAGAGGAGGGCAGGCGGCCTGTGGGACGGTCCTGCCGGCGCACTGAAAAGCTTGGGAAGCCTTTCCGACTCCTGAGGCTTTGTGCCCAGGCCTGGCTCTCATACACGTGGCTGGTTTCAGAAGCTCAGAGGGAGCCATTTCTGCAACCCCCTCCCAGGGACCCGATGGCTTTGCGAGGTGCCCTCGGATCTTTTGCGTGCCCCTCTTTGGGCCCGCAGCTCCCGCAGAGCAGTAATGACGGTTGCTGCCTGCCCCCCAACCAGCCCCTGCTCTGCTGCTGAGCCAGCAGGGAGCTTGGAGCAGCCCCTTTGAGCATTCCCGATGCTAACCAGAGATTCCAGCCTGATTTTCTTTGTGCTTTCTGCTTTTACCAGCTTTCCCTAACCTTATAAAATCCTTAAAGCAGTAGTATTGTTGTAGTCATGATGGTATAAAGATCTAAACAGCACAGGATTTGTATGGAGAGGCAATATCTTTTCATGAAGAAGGGCCTGTGTGCCTGAAGGCTTGTCTGCCTTTTTTTTTTCCTAGCTGTATTAGTTGGTCTAACAAAAGATATTACTTCTCTCTGCAAGCTCTGCCTTGCTTATTAAAACAGTTGCCTTCAGGCCACAGAGCACTCCTAACTTGGTGAAAACCCCAATGGCAAGGTGGTAGAGCGGAGCTGAGTGCTGTAATTTCCATGCCCCAAGCCAGGTGGCTCAAATTAAAACAGGATGGGATGAACACAGTCCACCCCAATCATTCTGCACACAACAAGCGCCCCTTCCACCGCCACTCTGTATCAGTGTTTTTGTCTTTCCCACCACTCAGCTGTTTGGGCAGTTCCCTCCTAGCACACAAATTTATCCTGGGTAGCATCTTTTGGATGCTGCCTCAGCAGAAGGAGTAAGTATTATGCATGGTAAAACGGCTCTGTCTTCAGGTTATTTCCTTCTGAGAATCTCAGAATGGTTAAGGTTGTAAGGGACCTGTAGAGATTTCTGTACCTTATTTTTTGATTATTGTAGGTTAACTTGAGAAAGAGCAAAACAAAGTCCAACATGGCCGACATGTTTCTGCTTTAAGGATCGCCTAAATCTTTACAAAAGTCAAGGAAATTAGCAGGTTTAACATCCCAATGGATATTTTTCTTTCTATACTCTCAGGTGAACTTTCTGTGGAAGACATACAGGACCCATTCCTCGTCAGTGTCCATATCATCACAGACCCAGGAGAATCCAAGACTCTCCAGCAAGCCATCGACAAGCTTCTAGCCTGGATCCACCCAGACCTCCAGCTGTTTCGTGTCTCAGAGAGGCGAGTGGCACAAAAGCGCAGGAAGCCGAGTAAGGCCGGTGTTTCCCAGCCAGCCCTGGCCATCGTGCTGTTTCTGCAGGAGGAGTATGGAGAAGAACCCATTTTGCAGCTCCACGAATCCTTTCAGCGGCCCCCATGGCATTACCACCACACAGAGCGAGTGCGTGGGAAGTTCCTGCCTTACATGCCGTGCAGCCAGGACTTCTACACGTTGGCTCCAGGCACTCCTCTGTGGGCCATTCGCCCGGTGCATTATGGAAAAGAAATTATCCGCTTCACTATATACTGCAGGAGTGAAAACTTTGTTGACATTTTGAAATTGTATGAGCTAATCCTGAAAAGACCAGTATGTCAGAAAAAAACAGACTTCTGTGTTTTCCCAATCTATTCTAATATGGATATAGACATTCAATTCTCTTTAAAAAAACTCCCCAAGGGCCAGATTCCAGCCCCAACTGAGTCAGCAGTGCTGGAGTTCAGAGTAAAAGATGTTGGACAGCTTGTTCCTCTCTTGCCCAACTCTTGCAGCCCCATCAGTGAAGGCAGGTGGCAAACTGAAGACCACGATGGGAACAGGATACTTTTGCAGGTGAGTTCAGCATACAGGGAAACAGGAGCAAATTTACTGATTTTGTAAAGGAAAGCTTAACCTAAGGGAGCAACCAGGAAGGGAGGCTTTTCTAGTGCTCTGTCGTAGCTGGAAGAGCCAGGACGTTACTGCTTAAGAACAAACTCCAAAACCCTTACTGCGTGTGTGCAATTAATGAGGGAAGCAGGTGGCCGTACGGTGCAGGTATCAGTCAGCTTCGGTTTGCTCAAAGAGTGGTTTGAGATGAGGTAGTTGTTTAAAAGAATGAAAGGGGAAGGAATTACGAGCCCAAGTGGAGAAATGATGGATGATGGGTGTAGTTTTATGAGAAATATGGGCACTGATAGTGTTTTATGAGATAGCTCTCAATTAGCAGATTTTTTAATTAAAGATAAGTAGAATTCCTGATGGTACACAGTCATTTTTGAATCAGTTTGAAAGAGCGGGATAGGAAACTGTCCCTCTTTAATGCACCAGGATCATCATTGTGAGGAGAAAGGTGGTGACCTTTACCAAGCAGCGCAGCAGACACATTCCCATAGACTCTCCTTCAGCTGATATCAGGTGCTCATAATCGGATCCTAAAGGAGGATGTATTTATGAGGACAGCTGCAATCATCATGTCTGCACATTGTATCAGCACGCTTCACCACGCTGCATCCCAGGGAGTGAGATGGGATAACAAGCAGTCAGCCGTTAACAGCTCCCCTACTCTGCAGAGGGGCTTATGTGGCAGTCCAGAGAGAGAGATTAATGCACGTTCCTTCCTGCAAAGGTATTTAATGCTGCTGGGCATGTGAATCAGAGCACAGACCCTCACCTTTGGAAGACCGTCCTCTACTGTCTCTCTTTTAGAGTGTATTCCATTCATAAAGTGTGCCAAACTGCCTAGCTTTATTTCTGCAGAACTGGCACCGTGGCTGTGATGCCCCCACTGCACGGAGCCCTTGCAGAGCTGAGTGGAGATGTGCCCAGTGCGGCGCCTTCCCGCAGAGGTGCCACGTGTCTGGGTGGAGCAGCACCCAGGCAGGAGGCAGTTCAGCTGCTCTGCCCCTCTCTGGAGCCAGCAAAACACAATTACCCCAAAACCACTCCTAGATACATCCATTTTTCCCTCTGATTCTTTTTCTTCTATAGACCTCTTATATGTGTTATAACTTTGGTTTATGTGACCTTGCACTGGTTTCAAGTAAATTAAAGGGAAGGAAAAGAAACAGGAGGGTTTTAAGTAAGGCTTTTAACTTCCAAACAGCAAGTTTTGAGAAATAACAGGAGACAGGAAGTCCAGTGGAAAAGTGAGACCAGGCAGAGGTAAACCTTGCAAAGAAAATTGAAACAAGATTTTAGCCTTATAAAGAAGAAAAGACTGTTAAGAATGGTCTTTAAAATAAATTATTTTTTTTCTGCTTTCAATGAGAGTGACTATGCTGAATAGCAGGGCAAAATTGCAAATGGGCATGAAGTTACGGAAGTGGAAATGACCACAGTAGAAGTGTGGTGAAGTAAAAAGAAAAAAAAAACATTTAAAATATACAAAGTATTGGAAAACAGATGTGGGGTCTGAATTACGGAATTGTAAAGTCATGAAGCCTAGGCGTTGGTCTCGGTGTTAAACAAGTCTATGGAATCAGAAGCTTTATAACTAACTATACATGGGGGCTATTTGAGCTGTTTGTGCTCGGGTGACTTCAGGTCGCAGCACGGCCTGGCCATGAGGAGAGCAAGACAGTCCTGAGCACGGGTGAGACATTGTGCCCGCTGTGGAGCACGGGCAGCGCTCACACGGTTCCAAACTGAGGGCTGGCATCAGCCCTCTGCAGTGCTGGGCTCCAGGCAGGAGCAGCACAGGGAAGGGATCACCCCGCGTGCACACGGATGCACAGACTGTCTCACAAACAGCAACTGAAAGCGCTGGGCGACCCAAACCTGGCCAAAGGAAGTCTAAGGGGAGCTCTGACTGCTCCTCCCATCAGGAGGTAAGCAGCAGGGATGGAAAAAGCCTATTTGGCTTAAGTGGCTGCTTTGGCGCAGGAGAAAAGAAAAGGCAATAAGCAGATTGAAGCCAGCAGTTGTTCATCTTGATGGCCATCTTCGTAACAGCCACCCAGCAGGTGCAGGCAAGTTAATACCTTAATTTAAGACAGGATAATCATCAGTTCAGGAAAAGGGATTAAGTGATGGAGCATGGACTATGGTACTTGCCGAATTTGGTGATACATGGAGTCCTGCACTGTTTTAATTTATTCTGAGTTAAAAACAAATTAGAATATCTACTCTTGAAAAGTGAGATTCAGGAGTTTTCGCAGGGTGTAGTTCTTAATAACTTTCATTCCTTCCCAAATATATGAATCCAAACAATGACGTTGTAATATTTTTCAGCCTGCAGATCAGTTGATATTCAGTAATCAAGAGAGTATTTTTAATTGCTGCATATTGGTGCTGTGCCTCTCTACAGATGAAAATCAGCAATTATGCCCAAAATGATAGATTTACGTCTCCTCTTAGTAACAGGCCATGTTTAATGCTTGAAATTTGAATATACTTCCATGATTAGACTAACAAGATGTGACTTCAGTGTTTTTCCTGGTGTGCTTACAGGGACTGGGATACTTGCCAGCAAGATTGATCCATGCTCTTAACCCATTTTGCAAATGCAATTATCGAGGGGCTTAGACAAAGTCAGTGCAAGAGAAAATAAAGTTGTTCATGGGCAGGATAAGTCTGTTTAATATCAGTGTCCATATTCCTTCATTTGCAAGAAAGCCCTTCAAAATTATTTTGTCACAATATCTTTTCCATAACGGTGAGTTAATGCTGAGGATCTGTATCTACCCATATACCAAGGGGAGCAAAGGGGAGCACCTCAGCTGGGTTTAGCCAGAGCAGAGCTCAGGAGCACGCCTGCATTGCGGAAGACACCCACGTCGCTTCAGCAGAAACAGGGGCTCTGGGGAGCTGTTGTAAGAACAGCGGGAAAAATACAGAGCAGCTAAGAATACGCTGTGGCCTGCTGGTTTGATAGGCCTTGTCCAAATTCCTGGCTGCCTGTGGGCATAATCCCCACGGAGACAGCTGAAGTGCTAATGAATTTCTACACGCCAGGCGGTGCGGTGTGGGAAGCAGGAAGGGTTGGTAGCCAGTGGGTTAGCTCGGCCATGCATGTTTGGCAAGCAGGGGTAATGATCAAAGAGAAGAAGGAAAGTGTACAGATGGCCTCCTTAAACTAGGAGGGAGCTTGGACAGGATAGGAAGGGTACAAAAAAAGCATTTTGGCAGTATTTTCTAGATGCTCTGTGTGTGTGTGCACACACACATGACTATCTCACCTAGGCAGTGCCTGAGCACAGAATGTGCTGCCATTCTAGGTGCCTGAACGTACCTGAGAGATCCAAAAGAGGTCTGGCAGACTAGGCCCAGGAGCCACAGGAGAGCTGTGCCCTTCCAGAATGCCAGGCAGGCAACCCAAGGGAATATCAAGTAGTACCCAACACCTAGGTTGGGACACCTCCTGTTCACTCCTGTAACAACCAATTTCATGCTGAGGTCATTGCTCCCCACTACTTGCAGCAAGGAGTGGACAACACTGCTGGAAAACCAAGAGAAACAGAAATCCTGGACTCTTTGCCATTAAAGATTATATTGATGATCCTATACTGTTTATGGGATGGGTATTTTCTCTCCAGTGTTGCTTTATAGAACATCACTGAGATAGATAGTAACACAAAAGCTAACTGCCTGAAGGTTTTCACTAGAGGGATTTTTGAGCTGAGCTGCTGGGGGGATGGGGCAACCTTCTGCCTACCTGTACTAGGGAGCTCTATTCTGAAGTTCAGAGGCAGTATAACCATATGCGGAAAACACAGTTTATTAACTGAAGCTTTGATTTTGAGGGAACCCTGCTTGTGGAGCCAACCACTAATTCACATCCATCTGCTGCTGTGCTCTCTGCAAGCTGAGGTCTCTGCTACCTGGGAGATTTCTCTGTCATTTGGTGCACAAAATGAGTCTCCTGCTCCTATGGCCAGGCAGTATCCATCTGCTCATGGTTTCTTGAGGTGAACTACAGTTATTTACGTATTAGCACAGCACGTAATTGTTGGGTAAGTCTGGCACAGAGACATGCAAGAAAGAGAAAATGCAGAAATCTGTGATTGCAGCTGTATGCTGTCTGCATGCATGAGGACATTCTGTGATGAGAGTTCAAAGTGCAAAAGACTTGAAGAAAGAGGAGTAGCATGAAGGTTATAGGCCTGAGAGAGCATGTTTTAAGTATACTTAGGAGATGTACATATATACATGAAAAGCACACTTGTTGCCAAACCTCACTCCCAAGATGTCTGAAAGAGAAATTGGGGGAAAATTATCTTTTCCATGGTGTTCAACTGACCGAGTATATTTTAGCCTGAGAGAAGGGAATGGGCATCATGCCTTGTTACCTAGTACTGCAGACTGATCTAGCTGAAGCGAGGACCAGAGGGACAAGAGGCCTCAGAAAACACAGAGAATACCCTGTGTACGTGGCTGCTGCAGGTCAAACTAATTTCTGGAACTGAGGTTAGGATAAAATTCTTCCCTTCAACTTCCAATCCCAACTCAGACTAAGAGAAACTTTCTTCTCTCCTCTGCAGCATGAGGAAAGATTTGCATCCTAGGCTTATCTTGGCCAAGGAGAACCAAATCCTGCAGTCTGACGGGCCACCTCTGTTTCTTTCCAGACATTTAGAGGGACAGATCAACATTGTCTTGGTTGCATTTACTTCAGTTGACCTAGTGAATGCTGCCAAACCTCTCCTGAGTCTATATTTCCTTTCTCTCATACAAAGCAATATTACATCTCCTCCCCTGAGCTCCAGTTGGGTCATCGGACATTCCTATGACTTGGATAAAACATGCAGATGCTCTAGGAGCATTAGTCAGTCCTCAGCTGTTATAGAAGTCTTGGTCTTTGAGTCACCTACATGTCCTGTCTGCCTATAGCAAACAGCAATTTTGTCCCCATA